CCAAAACCTGCCAGCCCCCCCCCATTTCCCCCACATCGATCCAAGGCAGCCCCCCACCAACCTCAGGAGCATCACCTAAGGGTGGCCCTGTCCCTAGAGGTGTCATTCAGGGGTGTCCCTGTGCACAGGAGGGTCATTCAGGGGTGACTTTCTTCCCGGGAGGGTGGTCTGGGGGTGTCCCTGCTCCTGGGGGCATCATTTAGGGGTGTCCCTGTCCCCAGAAGAGTCATCTGGAGGGTGTCCCTGTCCCCAGGAGGGAGGACTACTACTGTCCCTGTCCCTAGAGGTGTCATCTAAGGGTGGCCCTGTCCCTAGAAGTGTCATTTAGGGGTGTCCCTGTGTGCAGGGGGGTCATTTGGGGGTGACTTTCTTCCCAGGAGGGTGGTCTGGGGGTGTCCCTGCCCCTGGGAACATCATTTAGGGGTGTCCCTGTCCCCGTAATGTGTTAACCAAAGCTGTCCTTGTCCCCAGAAGGGTCATCTTGGGGGTGTCCCTGTGCCCAGAAGGGTGGTCTAGGACTGTCCCTGTCCCTAAGGGTGTCATTCAGTGGTGGCTTTATTCCCATGAGGGTGGTCTGGGGGTGTCCCTGTCCCCATAATAGGTCATCCAGGGCTGTCCCTGTCCCTAGGAGCATCATCTGGGAGGTGTCCCTGTCCCCAGGAGGGTGGTCTAGCACTGTCCCTATGCCCAGGGGGGGGCACTGGGGTGTGTCCTTGTCCCCAGAGTGTCATTAAGGGGTGTCCCTGTCCCCAGGAGGGTTGTCTGAGGAGTGTCCCTGTCCCCAGGAGCATCATCCAGGGGTGTCCCTGTCCCCAGAAGGGTCATCAGGGGGGTGTCCCTCTCCCCAGGAGCATCATCCAGGGGTGTCCTTGTCCCCAGAAGGGTCACCTGGGGTGTGTCCCTGTCCCCGGGGCTGGTTTGGGTGCGGGAGGATGTGAACCAAGGAGGAGGTTGGGATCCCCACCCAGGGGGACATGAACTGGGGAGGGGGTCAGGACCCTCACCCACTCCTGTGCCCCACAGGAACTCTCTGGCTTCACCCTGGACCAAGTGGCTTTCGAGGATGGCAAAGGGAAGTGTCCCTACGACCCCACCAAGGGACACACCGGCCTCATCGTGGGTAGGTGGCACCACCCAGCACCCACTGGGCTCGAGGGGGGTGCCCACTGCACCCCCCCATCCCCCTCCCTAACCCCTTGTCTCGCAGACGGGGAGCTGTACTCAGCCACCTTCAACAACTTCCTGGGCACGGAGCCCGTCATCCTCCGCAACCTGGGCCCCCACTACTCCATGAAGACGGAATATCTCACCTCCTGGCTGAACGGTGGGTCGGGGGGGACACGGTGTGGGGACATCACGGTCACCCACCCCACTCTGGCACGGTGTCACCCTCCCCTTTCTCTCCACAGAGCCCCACTTCGTGGCTTCAGCCTACGTGCAGGAGAGCGCGGCCAGCAGCACCGGCGACGACGACAAGGTTTACTTCTTCTTCAGCGAGCGGGCGGTGGAGTACGACTGCTA